TGAGTCTGCCTATCGTTACGGTTTATAAATGACTCCTAAGAGAGGGTCTCCTCTGTACTGCTGCTCTTACTCAGTATCATGTCTGTAAACTTATCTCCAGTGCTCTAAGGCGTTCCCCTGTACGCCACCCCACCCCTCACCGCCCTGCTGCTGGCGCCCTGTGCACATGCAGGGGCCTGCCGTGGTCTTGTGTCTACAAGTGGCACATTCATGCCTGTGCTCCCTTCGAGCAGATGAAGCTCTCACAGGTGTTTTTTTGTTTTGTTTTGTTTTTATTTTTTTATTTTTTGAGAGGTTTTTGCTACAGGGCGCGTGCCCTCGCCAGACAGACAGAGACATAGAGACAGAAAGTGAGAAATCATCCCCCAGGGGGGATGGCCATGCGGCGATCTCTTCTCCTGCATTCTCCTCTCGGGATCTTGGGCACGCATGCACACACGCCCGGCGTGAGTTTTAAGCCCCCGGGTCTGGAATGCGAACCACAGTTGACTACGTGGGAGTCCAGCGACATAGCCATTACGCCAACTGCTGGTTCCCCAGAGGTGGTTTTAACACTTACCCTCGGACGTGCCAGATTTCCTATTAGTGCCTGTCCTCCCCAGCCCGTCATCCCCCCCGTAAGTCTCACTGTCCCCGTGTACAGGACGCCCCCGCGCGATCTTAGGACCCCACCACTGACTGCTCTTCATGGTGGTTGGCCATTCGGACGTGATCTTGGAAAATGCCTGTTCCAGTCAATCTCGCGCCTGGTTTTAACTGACTTCCTTTCCTTGATGATCTTGTAGGACTCAGTTATGTACTCTACATAAAGGCCCTTTTTTGTAAATTCCATTTCTTTACACTTTGCACAGGTGGAGTGAGTGGCTGAATTATGACATGTACATTCCTGACCTTCCTCGCGCTGCTCGACTGTGTCTCTCCATTTGCTCTGTTAAAGGCCGAAAAGGTGCTAAAGAGGTAAAGTATTTCAGAAGGAGCGTCACGTCTCCCTCTCGGACTCCTGATTATGCAGCCCAGGTGGCATGGAGGTGAAGTTAGGGATCCCACGTGGCCAACAACGGGGTCCGGGTCTCGGGCCTGGCTGCCTGACAGATACGCTCGGTGCGTGTGCATGCCTGCCCAAAACCCCAAGAGGAGGATGGAGGAAGAGGACTTGTGGCTTTGCCTTCTCCCCTGGGGGGTGATTTCTCTATTTCCCTTTCTTTCTCTCTCTGTCTCCAACAGGCAGATGCACCCTATAGCAAAACTAAAAAACAGAAACAAAACTCTTGATTATATTGACGATCACATTTTTCTCTGAAAGCATATTTTTTCATTTTAAAAAAACCTATTTCGTATTTCTTAATAAATAAAAATGTCAAAAAAGAATGCCTTGAGAGAGTTTCAGGGATTTATTTATGATGAATATGTTTTAGGCTCATGTTAGTATAATTTTTAAATAATTTATCTTTTTTTTCTAATTTGCCGTAGGGCATGTGCACTCACCAGAGAGAGACAGAGAGAGAGGCTCGAAGGGAGAAGGCCAGCCAGCGGGTCCAGGACTTGAACGAAGTGAGAAGGCCAGCCAGCGGGTCCAGGACTTGAACTGCAGTTGCCGTATCTAGCACCTCGTCTACCACACCACCTTCTGGCTCAGTGCGGTTTTTTAAACATGTAAAGTAACTATATAAAAGTGACTGCATGCAAATACCTGTCATGCTTCCTTTGGTTCATTTTCCTACGTATAACTGTAAAAAGTACGTATAATTTTAAACAAGAAAAATAGTGCTTAAACTTTAACACCTCAGTGTGGCTTTCTATAGTTATCCTATTCCCATTATTCCAAAGATAGTAGTTCCCTTTCTGGGGAGCAAAAGTGTGTGAAATACATCTTGTAATTTAACCCACAGAGCAGGGAATATATTACATGTCTTTGTCTTTTAAGGAGCACTGCCCATTGGCCTGGGGAAATATAAACCTGTTCGATTACACCGACACTCTCGTATCTGGAAAGATGGCTTTGAATCTTTGGCCAGTCCCTCATGGGTTAGAAGACTTGCTGAACCCTATTGGTGTTACTGGGTCAAACCCAAATAAAGTAAGCTTTGTATTATCAGAAACTAGATAGTTTTCCTTTCTGTGAAAATGAAGCGTGGGAGTCTGCACCTGTAATACGCTCTCTCCTGTGTCTTAGGAAACTCCCTGCTTAGAGCTGGAGTTTGACTGGTTCAGCA